CACCAGGAAGTATTCACTTCCCCCAGTTGGATCTGATTCTAAAATGTTGATGAGCCTTCTAAGAAGATGATCTCTTGTGTCAGTATATTTTTTTCTCTTCTGACAAACAGCTATATTTGCTTACCAAGTGCTGTATTTGTTATGGGGGAAATTGCTTTCTGGAGAAGAGATTTCCTGGTGTTAAAAATATCTTTCTTTTCCCTTTTCAGGAATTGAATTGTAAGCTGGTAATCCAAAATGGAATTTTCATTTCTCTCTATATAAGCATGCACAAAAAGAAATTTACTCTTGACAGTAAAAAAAGTGCTCAATTAGAAAAGAATACCTAGCTTGGGTGGTTTAGATTTTTTTTAATATTATTAATATTTCTTTCCACCCTGTCCTTATGACTCAGTATCAATGATGATCAAGGATAAAATTTAGCTGTGGAATAAATTCCGGTTTTAATCAGTGATAAAGTACTGTCCCTGCTAATTTTACTATGACCGTGATTTTTTTCCTCTGTAGGTTCCAGTCCCTCACTATGACTTCCTATTCCAGAACTAGTGCTAACCTGAATGTTTTCTTTCCTTTCTTTTTTTTTCTTTTTTGTGTTGCTTTTGTTGTTGTTTTGGGTTTTTTGTTTTGTTTTGGTTTTGTTTTTTAACTTAAACAGATTACGTAAAGGGATAAATATCCTCATTTCAACTCCCGGTCGCCTGGTTGATCACATCAAGTCCACAGAGTGTATTCATTTCCGTTGCACTCAGTGGCTGATTATTGATGAAGCAGACAGGTAAACTTTCAAGTATTTAGGTATGGAAAATAATAATGATACCCTCTGCATCATAATTCACTACATATTTTTTTAAAAATGAGAGAGAGCACGCACGTGTGATCTTAAGCCGTTCATGCTCAGTGACCTCAGCCAAGCACCAGATGTCTGGAATTAGGAAGAAATGTCCCCTTTGGACAGATTATTGTACAGTTATTCGTTGCAGAGATTCTCAGAGTGTCTTCTGACATGTCTGACCCTGGCAAAAGTTGAAGATGGAACATGAAGCTAGATGAGCCAAAGATCTGATCAGCTCTAGTACCTCCCCTATTCCTATTTGGCTCATGTAGTATTAAGACTTTCTCCTCATTCCTTCTTACAGCATCTTTCATCACCTCTGCTGTTTTTGTAGGATTCTGGACCTGGGCTTTGAGAAGGATGTAGCCATGATACTCAATGCTTTAAATGCCTCGAGGGAGACACGTCAGAATGTCCTGCTCTCAGCCACCCTCACAGAAGGTAGGTTATAGACAGATGGTGTCTCTTTTAGCTGAATAATGCACAGACAACTGCAAAATAGTTGGTTGAATCTGATTATATTAAAGCCCAATCTGAAGCACTTTGCAAAAGTGGAATAATGCCTATTGATTTATTTGGTCTTATGACACTTGTCCTTCATTACTGGAATATCTGTCAGTGTATATATACTTACATGGTCCTTACATATGTGTGTCAAATTCCAGAGCAAAGTCACCATGAACCTGGGAAGTACTGATTTGCTTGCTTACTTTACAAATGCAGAATTAAGGCAAGAAGCTAATGACAGGACAGCTCTGGTGTGATTTGCTCAGTATCATACAAGAAGTCAGTTGCTGAGGCAGGAATTGAGCCAGGCCTTATGACTCCTGCAGTCTTGATAGAGTGAAGATCTGTTGGGTTTTGGGGTTTTTTTTCACACACAGTTAAAAAACAGGACTGCCAAATACTCTCTATCTGGTCAAGGCATTTATGTAATGTAAAATAGCACAGTTGGCTGAAGTAGTGTCTTGTGATGCTTTTGCTGGAGTCCACAGCAACTAAGGCTGGCTAAACCCTGAAAAGTCTGAAGTTTGTGGAGGTGTTCTGTCAGTGTCTGAGGCATGGCTCATGTTCCTTGCTCTTCACTGTCTTTTACTGGAATTGCATTAGTTGGTTTGGTTTGTGTTGTTTTTTTTTTTCAATGTGAACATATCAGCCTCCCCAGCAGCAGTCCAGACTGGACCTCATGTATTTTTCATTTTCTGTGATTTAGGAGTCACACGGCTGGCCGATATCAGTTTGAATGATCCCATCAGCATTTCCATAGCAGATGAAATCCAGAAGGTGCTCAAACCAGCATCGCAAATGGATAGAGAAGCCAGTAGTTCATCAAATTGCGTGGGGCAGGAAAACTTTGCTGTTCCGGAGAAGCTCAAGCAGTATGTCGTGATGGTCCCCAGCAAATTGAGACTTGTCACGTTAGCAGCTTTTGTCCTTGAGAAATGCAAGGTGAGATTGTTTGCATTTATATTACTAAGTAGCCCTTTGCCCTTTCCAAGTCCTTTATCTGTTACTCTGTCAAGGATAGCGTGGTTTAGATCTAGGGCTTTGAAGTGCATCTAGTGTACAGGGAGCTGCCAGAGAGCTGAGGTGCAATTGTGTCTTTCATGCTAGCAGTGAGATACCTGTGCAGCGTGTACTCACGTTTCTTTTGTGGGCTCAGTATTTGGTGTCAAACTCCATAATCTTTTCCCAGATAATCATAGCTTTGGAAGTGGAAGCCACCTAGATCTTACAATAATCAGGGAATTGAGAGGCCTGTGGAAATGGTCATGTGCAATTTTCTTGGTTTTCTTGCAGTTTGAAAAACACCACAAGATGATCATCTTTTTCTCCAGCTGTGAACAAGTGGAATTCCACTTTGAGCTCCTTCTAAAGGTCCTTTCAGGAGAGCTAGAGTCAGAAAAACCTGAAGGTTCATCTGTCTCCTCTGCATGCTTACAGTTTCTACGACTGCACGGCAACATGGAGCAGGAAGTAAGCATTCTCAAAATGTCAGGATACACAGTTTTACTCTGTAGTCGTTATGATTTATTATGTGGTTATTTTGGGGAGGGGGGCAGAAGAGAGGACAGAGAGTCATTTCACCTCTAGGGGCCTCACTCTTCCATCTGCTAATGAGAATAAGAATATTGTCCCACTTCTGGAAGGTACCTTGGTAGCTATATCTGAAAAACACAGCTGAAGAAGCAAGAGGTGTTATTTCAGCAGGCTGAGGCAGCCATTCTGTATTCCCAGGGGGTGCACTTAAACCATTTATGTATCCGTGGTTCTTTCTCATGCAGTCAAGACAGACTTTTAATGCTAAAGTAAAACCTCATCCAAGCCCCAAAACATTACTACCCAATAAGCTGCCCCCATTAGATGAGGATTGAGCAGCTTGGTTTTGAAGAACAGTGTTTTGACGGACTGCTCTTTTCCCTGGTATAGAATAATAGCAATATAACAGTGGTTACCCCCAAACAAGTCTAGGTTTTAGCCAGATAGGCCTGGGTGATGAGATTGGAGCTTGCTGTAGAGGCCTGAGAGGCCAGGAGAAGAGAGTTTCAAATGAACTGTCACTGCAGTGTTTCTCTCAATAGCTGAGGGACCTCCCTTGAAAGTGCAGCCCCTGATCCTGTCTTTGGTCTGTGATGGAAAGAGGTACCGCTCTACTCTGAGCTGCACAGCAGAGATGGTAAATGAATAGAGCTCTTCTGATGAAGCAAGAGGTGAAGAGCCATTGTTTTTCTCACTCATTCCCATCCTGTGGAGACCAGAAACATGTGCTTTCCTGTCCCTGCAGTCTGGCCTTTCCTCAACCTGCTTGCCTGAGCAAGTGAGCAGGCCTGGTCTGGCCCAACTCTACCCTGACCAGCTGTTAAGCCAACAGAACACCACTAAGTAGCTGGCACCAGGGGAAGGGTTTTGCCTTTTTAGTACCCAGTGTGTAATTAGTGCTTGATGTCTTCAAATTAAGAGCATTAATGGAGCTAAATTGTGGATCCCATATGGTACTGCTGAGCACGGCTGCTGTCATTGTCAACAAGATACAGCGTGTTCTCTTCTTTAATTTTTGTCAGCAGAGGGTTCAGTGTGTCGGCAAGGCCCAAGTTTCCCTTCTTTCCTAGAACAGTACCTCTAGCTGGGAGTCATGTGTGTAAGATTTCTTCTATATCATCAACATAACAGGACATTCACTTAGCTTCTAGCTAGAACTCTGAGGAGGAAGGCTTGAAACATGGAAACAAGGATATTTTGGAAGGAGGACACAAAAGGGGCAGGAAGGAAACAGGTATGGTGTTTCTGAGGCCAGAGACAGCCCGGGCTCTGAAAAGGAAAAGAGTAAATGGGATCAGATCAAGGGAGTGTGTGTGTGCGCAGTTGTTTCCCACAGCTAAGGAGAGGGAGTGTAGGTGGATAGGTGGTACTGCCAAACGAAGACCAAATGCTACTGAGGACTTTGCTTACTAGTGCTCAGAGATTGCCTTGTGTGATGGCAAATATCATTGTGAACTAATGTGGGTTGGAGAATCAGGTTCTGTTGCTTTTGTAAAGAAAAAAACACCCCCAAAGTAGTTAGTTAAACTAACTGGAGTGTGCTTAGGAAGGTTTTGGGACTTTTGAAGGTACGTGAGGAGCCGTACTGGTGGGTTTCTGCAGTTCTGGGGCTCGATGGCTCAAAGACCGCTGGTGGGGTAATTTGGGATCTGGGGGCTGCCGACAGCCCTGCCTGGGAGCCTGAGCTCGATTTAGAAGTGGAGGTTGCAGGAATTCTTCTGGTGCAGACCAAGGATGAGGACAAGGCTGGGGAGCACCTGCCTGTGACACTTGTAGGAAGGAACGACCTCCATTCCAGTGTTGGCAGCCCTGTTGGTGGCCCTCGTGAGTACGAGGCCTTTTCTGGTGGGAAGGCCATGGGAGGGTGCCCTGGGAGCTCTGTAGTAGCTGCCTGCAGGGCCCAGGAGTCCTGCGCCTTGCCCCCTTGGGCAGGGGTTTCTGACCAAGGTCTCATCTCTCCTGTCCTGTTACTTTGAAGACTTATTCCACAACAGTTCACGTGAGCAACTGTGCAGCTGAGCATCCCCGATAGTTAATTATTACACAGTCAGTCCAGCAACTGTCTGCATGCCCCATTGGGCACGTGGTGAGGCTGATACCTTGTGATGCGATTATATCGCTGTGTCAACAAAATGGGCTTATCCTGCCCATCGTGTGACTGGACAGACAGCAGTTAAGATGTCTAACTCTTTCCTGCATTCACAAAAGCCTGTGTTTACCATTAAGTATACCAGTGCTTCTGGTGCTGCTGCCTAATCTTCTGTGGATCCCCTCTCCATGTGAAACAGTTACTGCTTTCTGACATACACAGACCGTGCTTCTGTGCAAACTATGGAGGTGTTGGCTGCTTTGATTTGACCAAATGCATTCAGGCTTGCTCCAGACATTGTGCCTTCCTACCTGGGACCATGCCTGTATGCCACAGATTTGATTTTTTTTTTTTTTCCATTTGTAGGAAGAGTCTGGAACTCGTGAAGTCAGTTCCTTTGCTTTTGAAGCTGTATATGATGTAGTGAATGAGGCATAGTTGTTAAATTATTACATTAGCTAATTTGCTTTATGTTTGATTGTAATGTGCATAAGCACTCTTTTCATTTTTCTGTTTCAATCCCCTAGGAAAGAACAGAGGTCTTCCAGGAGTTCCTAAAATCCAAGACCGGCATCTTGCTTTGCACTGTAAGTCACGTAGAGTCCCTTTGCAGCTCCACGCTAATGGGCCTGTCTGATATCTAATGGTAGAACAGAGAATTTGGCACTGAGCTGTAATTCCAGCTCACTGTCTGACCTTGAGGAAAGTCATCTCCTTTTTCTGCATCTCACATGTTAAATAAGGACTGGTGCCCTCTTTGCAAACTGTTATATGATCTTTTGCTGCAAGGTACTGTATACAGAAAAAGTGTACGTCTTATACGAGAGGCCTCTAAGTATTTTGCATAGTCTTATGTCTGGAAAAATCTGTTCATTTGAAGCTGGAACCTTGCCCTCTGCATGCAGTCGGTAGAATGCAGTCCTAATTTGTAGTATGCCCCATAACTGCCAGGTGAATTGCATGTAATGTGATATTTCCCATCTTAATGACTACCCCAGGGTTAAAAACAAAAACCTGCAGGGATCAAAGGGAAACCCAACCAGAGAATGGTGTCATTGGAAATGCACATGCTCTGCTGCTCTCCGTGCTTTGCCCTTCAAGCTTCCTTCAAGGCTGCTGAGGGAGAAACTCTTGTTCTTTACTGAAGTTTGCTGGCACCCTTGTGTTATGGTGGCACCTTCCACTTCTCGTTTCTGACCTGTCGGTGCCACAGATAGCCTGCTGCAGTGGTGCAGAAGGCTGCACGATTTGCTCTCTAATAGTGGCAGCTGTTGATCTGAAAATGTGTGAATCTTGGCGATTTCTACCCACCGCAAACTTGTAAATTACAGCGATCGGGAGTAATTAGAGCTGAGAAACCCTCTCCAGCTCTGAAATGACTCCTGTTCTTGCAGCACATGATTCTTAAAGGAAACTAGTTGCAATTTTTTTCAGAGAGCGGGGCCTGAATTTTATCTTATTTTTATGCCTGCAATTCAAACTAGGACTGCCATGTATATAGGTGTGTTTGTTTTACATAGTGTATCGCCTGTAAAATTGTACTTGTTACATGCTAGTCTTGGTCCTGCTTGTGTGTACAACCTTTCAATGATTTGATCAAGGTCAAAATACATCTTTGCAATGCATAAGTGTAACTATAACTTGGTTTTCCTGTAATACTTAATAAGTATGGAGGTAATACTTAGGTATTTCAACGGAGGAGTATAGCAAAGCTTCAGTCATTCTGTGGTGTAGATTGTGTTTTGGAGATAAAAAGTGTTTGGTAAATTCTAAATAATAAATAACTAAACTTTGTTATCCTTCATGCATGTGCTGTCTATAAATGAGAAATTTCAGGAACAGGTCTTGTTACTGAAATTTCAGTTTAATTAGTTTGGAAAGACAGTGAATGCTCAATTTTAGACAAAGAGAAAGCAGAATCATTGCAATCACTGGCATATTGGTTCCTGGGTGAAACTGTTTGAAAGGGAAATGCAGCTTGCGGCAGGAAAAATCTGCCAGGAAATGTACGGCTGTTGACAGGGTAGGAAGAAGAGTTAAGTTGGATAAAGAAGTCCCAGTGGATGGGATACCCCTCTTGAGAGACTGGAGATGTGGTTTGATTTCCTGCCATGCCACAGACTCCATACAAGTGGATGTGGAATTGTGATGACAAGGCAAGTAGATATGTCAGCTGAGCAGCGATAGTTGTGAGTTTGTTCCTGACCTGTCATAAATGGGAGGTAATGTGAATTAACCTAGATTGCCGTGAAGAGGGTAGTGCAAGGTAATGCATTCAAGGTAATCAATTCCTTTGTTTCAATCTAAGCTGCTTTGCATTTACTGCAAGGCAGGGATGCAAATCCTGACAGTTACAGTTACTGTGGCTCAGCTGGCACATGGTTAGCACGTTAGAGCACAGTAAGTTGTGTGTCCGAGTCCAAAATCTCTCTGTGCTTCAGCTCCCCATCTGTAAAATGGGGATAGTAGCACTGTTCTATCTTACAGAGATGTTGGGAGGACAAATGCATTGAAACCAGGAGGTGGCCTGTTACCACAGTAATGGGGACCATATGGACACCTTAATATAGAGATACACTTTGCACTAGTCCCACATTACAGGTGCCTCCCCAACGCAGATGTCCAAAGGGCAGCCAGGCACTGTGACCACCTCCTGCCTCTGAGGGCATTGCTTTTTCTGACACTTTTCTTCATATCAGCAAAAATGTTTTGCAGAAAGGTGGTTCTGTTCTTTTCACTGCAAATCACATTTTGTGCCCACAAAATTTTGAAATCTGGCTCACAAAAGAGCAACACAGATAATGTTGCCGTCCTTCCCTTGTCCCTTATGCCATGTTCTCCACCCATCTTTCCGCTCTAGTAAGCAATGGGACCTGCTGTTTCTTTTATTAATTTGCTCTATGTCATATGTATATTAATATATTGCATAAAATATTTTTGCCAGACAATATAAGCTGGCAGACAAGAAAATAAAGAAGGGCCGTGTATCTCAGAGGGTTTCATCCAGATTTATTTCTCTCTCCTTCACTGAAGTTCTTTGCGGCTTCCTTTGGGATGTGCCTTTTAAACAAGTTCATCTCTTCCAGAGAGAGAGGAAAGATCATTTGGAGATTGTTTGCTGTTTACTCAGTCACGCTAACTCATCTTGCCAGTTTTCTGGCGGCCCCAGCCAAGAGCTTTCGCCTCTGACAGCTTCTGTGCTCTCTCCTTCCTCCTCTGATTACGCAGCCCAATCTGTCACCCTGCCGACGGGGGTCTCTACCCTGCTGATGGCTTTCCACACTCGGCAGTAATGACTTTTGGCAGGCCGGGAAGGCGCGAGAGCTTCTTCCCCAGCTTGGAGAGCCGTTAGGCCCTCTCTGCCTGTTAGCTAAAGCACTTTGTGAGGTTCTTTGGTAAATAAATGAGTCATTTTAATCCAACTGACAGCCTGGCACCTGAGCAAGCTGCCTTCCATCTGTACTTCTAGGCCTCATGTAGGCAGCCAATTGTCAAGCTCAGGGCCTTCAAGACCTCACCATTGAGTGTCTTTCAAAAGCAACTTTAGCAATTTCCTTTGCCCTAATTAGATTGTGTGAGAGGCACTGAGCAAACCAAGGCCCTTGCAAAACTTTTGTGGCTCTGTTGGTTCTGATCTTCTGCAGCGATATGACTCACTTTTAGTATGACCTTTTTGCCTTCCATTCCCTTGCACCCACCCCTTGTACCCCACCACCATAGGCACAGGCTGGTAACATCAATTGTTAGAAGCAGAAATTTCAACATTTCTGGGGGTCCTCAGGTGGATTGGACCTTGATGCTGTGCCATTCTGTGGCTTGCACTTGGGATCGGGGTAGGAACTGGTTACGGCTACAGATTATTGTGGTGACTTGGCATCTGGGTTTTCTTTAAGATTGCACTGGTGTAGATTATATCTCCTTGCTCCTGTGAGATGGTCACTTAATTCTCCCTTCCATTGCCCATTGAAAGGAATCAGCAGTGACCTATTCTTGATTTCCCCGTTATTAAGGAATGGTGGTGTGAGGTCATGAATGGAAAAGGGAATGCTGTCTGGGGCAGTGGAAAAGACAGGAGAGTAGTTCACTGGGAATCTATTGGGCTTCTTGGAAGAGCACTGGCAGCAGGTTAGTGCTGCTGTGTGTGGAATAAGTGTAGTGTTCGTAAAACTGGATAATTGTTGCTTGAGCTGTGTTCTCTTTCCTGGTAAGGTGACCCACAAGTATTTTTCTAAGGATCTGAGAAGCAGGAAGCTCATGGCCTCTGCCAGCAAAGGAAAGCAAATCAACTCAAACTTTTTACCCTAGTTCTACCGTGCTGCTGTCTACTAGGGTCTTTGAGGAAAAGGAGCTACAGGAGATACAGGTGGACTGATACTGAGAAATCTTTGAGAATTTGCAAAACACTCCAATTACCAATAAATCCCAAGACACTTCTGAAAGAAAGCCAAGTTAAACCCCAGGAGAATAGCTGCTGATATGTGTCAGTAACAGCTGAGTGGAGTTGGTGGCATTGTGAAAGCAATAGTGAATACAAGGCTGATGATGGGAGAGAGCCTCCTCCTAGAATGTTGTCCTATTGCTGTTCGTTAGGCTTTTGGTTAACCTTTTCAACTTTCCTGCTTGCTTTGACAAACGCGCCTGAGAACAATACTGCCTGCGGCAGTAGTTTCCCAGCCAGAGGTGTTGAGAAAAGGTATCTTGGAAGAGGAGGGAAAGAATCCTGATGGACGAGAGGGATGGCTCCTGCCCCTGCCGTCTACTTCTCCTCCCCGTGTTGGAGGTGCCTGCCCATGACCACAGGACAGCTTGGCTATGTGTTTATTTTGAGTGAACTGACCCTGTTCCAAGGTCAGAGCCCTCTCATCAAACACAGCCTTTCCTAGACTACTGGGTGTGAGAAAGAGCACAGTATAGGAAAAGACCAAAGACTTGTCAGCATGGAAGTATATAACAGAGCCAGCCAGATCCGAATCAGATGTCAGCTCTCCTGTCTGATCGTGCTTTAGAGTTTATAATCTTGTTATCCTGGTAACTGCTGTACATGTTCCCCGACTTCTCTTGATTTATTTTCTCCAACCTCCTTTAAATGGCTTTTTGTACATCTGTTCATTCTGACTCTGGGAACAAGTCATTTCTTAATGAGCGTGTTGGAGCGAAAGTGTATTTTATTTCAGAGTGGGCGCTGTGGAAAGTGTCTCCTCTTTTACTGCAGTTGGAGCCACAAAGCAACCTGGCTAGTGCTTATGGGAAGGCCTTTGCTGCCAAAACATCAGCTTCCTAGTCTTTTAACGTGTGTGGGAGTTGCATGAAAACACTTCAGTGGGTGGCTGACACATTTTTAGTACATTAAGCTCCTGCTTACGTTCTTAATATATTCTATCTTGCAACTAGCTAAAAGATACATGTGTTCCAAAACATTTCCTAACAGAGTTAAATCTGCACACCTGCTCTGCTATTGCGCGTGGTGAATGTAAAATCTAAGGAGTATGTGAGGACATTACTAATGAATAGAAAATCAAGAAGGGAGATTGAAACGTGTTTGCACTCTCTCCGTTTTGAACAGTATTTAAACTCTCTTTTCTCTTTGAAAGGGTATGGTTTTTGAGCTATACCGGCTCTGGATAACTAAAGGGTCTCATTCAAATCCTCCTCCAAGTTGACGGGTTTTGTCACCAGCTGGCACATCAAATTAACACTCCTGAGGGCAGATTCAGACTCTTTTCTTTGGGGCTGAGTTTTGTTTCTCCAAATCAGAGCCAGACTGGTGAAAGTCTAATGGATAGCTAAGTCCCCTCTCCTCGAGCTGTACTCCAGCTTCCTGCAGATTCTGCTAAATTGTTTGTTGGCCTTTTATTGTAGGGCCAGGTGACCTGCAACTGTTCTGCTCTTCAACTCCAGACCATCACCTACGAAACAACTGATTATTTGTAGGTGGAGATCAGTGCATCTTTGGACATTCCACTCAAGGCCTAGGATCCTTGACCATTTCCTTTGTGGCCATTTTCCTTTTCATCATTAGCAGCCTGGTTTTAGTTCTTGGGGTTGCTGTGGAGAAAGGTGTGCTCAGAAATAGTGTTACCTTCGAGAGATTTAGTTCTGCTTCTCTTGGTATTTGGGTAGTAGGTGCCTACAAGCAGATCTGTTTTCATCAATGGAACAAACTGGAGAACCAAAGGTATCACTGCCATTAAGACAGTTGATTCTCTCAGATATAATGTAAAGGGGCTGTAGTGGACTGCTGAAATTCAACACCACTCTCCTGACATATCCTCCAGGCTTTCGGCCGTAGTAGTGGATTATTTTTTATTGTATTAGTCTGTTAACAGTATTCCTTGTGTTTTAAACCCTGAACATTATTTCTGACCTTCAGTCCATCTCTTCCCAAACAAGGTACAGAAAAGTCGTGCTTGCATAGCCACTTGTTTCCTGGCATAATTGCCATCCCGGAAGAGTTCTTTCTTTGCTGATATCTTCAAAGCATTTTTACTAACGTAATTTCCTTATTAATTTTAAAGGATGTTGCGGCACGTGGACTAGACCTGCCTCAAGTTACATGGATAGTACAGGTAGGTTTGCTGTGTATGTATGTGTGTACGTATGTATTAAGTGCAGCCTTGCTCAGATGAAATCCCTTTCCAGTCCAGACCCTCTTCTTGCCATTTGCTGGTCTTTGTGCTAATGCCTACAGGTGTGGGAGACCCACATGTTCCTGACTGCAGGACTGGGACTCAAGGTTTTGCTAGGATACAGCATTGCTATCATATCTTTGGTTTTGACAGGCTGTTTTCCCCTTCAATAACTCCAGTGTTATCAGCTGTGTAGTAATATTCCACTGGCTGGGAGGAAGCACCCTTTGTTTCCCCCCACAGGAAGCCAAATCTTGTGAAGCACTGGCCATCTCTCTTGCAGTTCTGTGTTTCTATTTTTCTGAGCTTGCTGGGGAGGCAGTTCCATGAGGATTTTAAGTGAAATCCTAGTGTTGAACATTGAGTAGCCCAATAGTATCTGTGCAATGACCTGAATGTTTCAAATGAGGCTTTGCTGGATTGGGGCTGGGGCTGGGTAGCGGTAAGCATTCAGCTTTCAGTGGAACTGCATAGTTCAGATTTTCCCTGAAAAAAAAACCAATACCAAAAACCCAACACTCCTGCATTGTTGTTGACAGAAATACTGTCTTTGAAAAAAAAATAGAAACTAAGGGAGATGGATTGAACCTTAAAAATAGCAACCTGTCATTTCAAAGAGGAATCTGAGAGCAAGAGGCAGATTTCATTTTTATAAAAGATTTATAATTAAAAAAAGGTTAGTTGAATTGAGGAAAAACTGATCCAGAGATTCTCGTGTATCAAGTGACACTTGGGTAAAAAGAACAAGGCACAGAGCCTCAACAAAGCTTTTTAATTTCTACCTCATCCCTTCTGGTAACAAATTTGATTTTAATTTTGTGTTTTTAAAAAAGAGAGATTTTGTAGCAGCTAGCTAGTTGGAGAAGGCTGGGGAAGTGAAATCTTTAATTCCCAGATCTGTGTATTAATATAATTTAACCAAAGATATAGTTGCCAGTGTTAGAACGCAGTGCAAATTATCTAAAGCCCTGGGAGACTTCTGTGTGTCCAGAAGGCGAAATCTCAGCTGTCCTGAGAGCTGTGTCCAAGAGCAAGGACCTGCAGGGAGCAATTAGATTGCTCACAGCATCTTACTCACACCTCTAGCCACTAGAAACTTTGCCAGAGGGCACAGGTATAAACACTAGAGTGGGCTTTGGTTGTTGGGCTTTTTCCAGTTAAACTGCTGAGGGCTCATTTCTGAGCAGTAGCTCTGTGCCTGTTCATTTTTCCAGGAAAGAGGGGGGGGGAAGAATAGGGGGAGGTCAAAGGGAGGGAAATATGTCACCTTTTATCAGATCTTGGAAATGGCTGGGCAGTTCTGATTCCCAGTGAAGTAAATGAGAGGTATGGATATATTAGGAGGGATTCTAAGCAACATTTTCATAGTGCTTGATAGTTGTACATGGCAAGACAATTGTTACCTGTATCATGTGCTACTGAAAGCACTTACTGCCTCATCTCTCTTAGATTTCTTCTGCCCAGTAACCAGCTATGTTTTGCTGTAATCAAAACAAAGCAATTTAGTCCAACTCCAAGTTTGAATCCATCATCTTGTATTTTATGGCTTTTCTCCCAAATGTAGAGCAGACAGCATCCCACTCTGTATGGGCAGTCATGGGGATTGTTTGGTTTGAGGTCTTTGTGAGACTGAGATTTTATTTTGGGGGGGGGGGGGGGGG